GGCCGTGCAACCCCTGGCCGCTGGTGTGGACTAAACCACTTTGCACATTTTTAAGGGGTGATAGATGCCTCAGAGATTATTCAGTTATTATTTTAAGGCGAAATTCTGTTTCTTAACCTCTTTATCCAGGTAAAGGGAAGTTTATTAAGACATTAAGTAAGTTGGGGGGAAAAACAACAACACTAAAACATTTTTATTCAAAGCTGTCTCAGGGCCCCTCCCTGCAGTGGGCCCTGGGTAAACAGTACCCCCCCCCCCCCCCCCCCCCCCCCCAGTCCGAGGCCCCTGGGGCTAACACATCACGTTGTTTCTTAGCATCCACTGTGGGGTTCCTAGCTCTGCTTGCCGAAACTGACTGAAGGGCTCCCTCACTTCGCCATGTGCCACTGACCAGCTGATGGTTTGCATCTTCAGAATCCACATAGCCAGGTGGTGTGTAGGCATCTGATCTCTGTTGTCGGAGGAAGTTGTGGAGACAAAGTGTTGCAAAAACAATTGCAACAACTTTGTCTGGATGCAGGCAAATTGTGGTTCTGAAAACGCGAAAGCGATTGGCCAGAATTCCAAATGCGTTCTCAACAACACGGCGTGCTCTGGAAAGCCTGTAGTTGAAAATCCTTTGATCATGGTTGAGGTTTCGTGATGGATATGGTTTCATCAGATCTGGCCTAAGGGGATATGCTTCGTCACCAATGAGCACATATGGTATTGTGGAGTCAGTGCCTAGCAGGGTTGCATCAGGAGGGACATTCAGAGTGCCTTTGTCCATAGCCTCTCTGAGATCAGAATGGGCAAACTCTCCAGCATCAGATGCCCTTCCTTGTGTCCCTGCACTTGCATATACAAATCTATAATTTGCGTCAACTACAGCCATAAGTATGATGGAAAACCTTGACTTGTAATTATAAAACGTGCTTCCACTGTTGGCAGGGGGTTGAATGAAGATGTGTTTCCCATCTATGGCCCCTATGCAATGTGGAAAATGCCACTTGTCTTCAAAGTCTTTAGCGATGACCTTCCACTCAGTCTCAGCTGATGGTGTCTGTGGAAGAAGTACATGGTGATACATTATATTAGTCTCAGGTTTAATCAGGACTGCACTTGCAAATTAGCTTCTAGCTAAATCTGGTGCAATGCATCACATTTGACTATCACTCAACAGGTTCATAATCCTCAGAATGTAAACCCACTTCAATAACAATTTTTACATTCCAACTGTATGTGCATGAATCTGTGATGTGCCACATGCCACTCTGTTACTCGAGGGTCCTTATCAAGCATGTTTTACAGTTTTTACTGATCAAACACACCAGATTTACATCAGCAGGTGAATAAATTGCTTCTGCACAGCGTGATGGGTGGATGCGCTGTTTTAGGGCAGGGAAAAAATTACCTTTAGGTAATCGTCACGTAATACTAGAGTCATGGCTGCACAGGTTTCCATCACAATGCGGCTCAGTGTGGTGCTCCCAATCCTGAACTGGAAAGATAAGGAATTGAAGGTCTCACCTGTAAAGATTAAGAAAGTGTTTCATAATGTGTAAACTTGATTTGGATGTGTGTGTGTGTGTATATATATTCTTGCCTGTTGCAAGGAATCTCAGTGTCACAGAGAGCCTCTCCCTAGGACTGATCGCCTTCCTCAGGTGTGTGTCTCAGGTGTGTGTGATGATTTGAGGGGCCACTCTCTCCAGAAGGTCGTTGAATTCTTCCACAGACATGCGGAGAAGGTCCCGAAACCCCTTCATATCATCGCTCTATTTCACACATCATTGCAACAGCATTACAAATGGCAGTTGTCACTCCACCCACCACCCCAAAGTCCATCAGCTGGTCAAAATGTAATTTAAGTCAATAGATACAATTGTAGTTACATAAGGAAAAGGTTATTTCAAACATCTTACCTCCAACTCCCGCTGTAGATTTGACAAACCATACTGGCAACATCTGCCCAGCCATTTCTTTGTCCACATTCGTCTTCTCTTTTTCTTTTCATCGACACACATGATGGCAAGAAGAGCCAAAGACAAACGTCTTGTTTTCACGAGCATTATTGCGGTTAACAGCGAGCAAGCAAGCGCTTTTCTGCTCGGAACCGAACTGGTTTTCCCTCGTTTTTACTTCCGGGGTTTTCTTCTTCGTGTTTGTAATTCCAACATCTACTGGCTAATTTTTAGCTGCGGTAGTTCATGCCACTCGTACAGTGTGAGCAGTCAGGTCACATGCGAGAACTGGGTCGTGCAGTGTGAGCACGACTCGTGAGATCTGCTCGGCGAGGAAGTCGTACAGTTTGAGCTGAAGCTGAGTGCTACGAGTGAAAAAGTCGCACAGTGTACGCCCGGCTTAACCACCGCAGCATTTCATCCAACTTCGCCGTCCAGCTCTGATTTTTCTTTGTCTTCGCTCTTCATCACGTATTTTTTGCTTGTGTTTTCAGGCGTTTCTGGTGTCGCGCTCTCATCGTTGATTGGACCAAATTGCACAGCAGACAGAAGCGTGCCTGTGCGTTGCAGCCAATAGGCATCTAAAACGTCACAAATAGCACACGGTTTACGGTAGTGTCGTTGTAAGGTTTTGGCCCAGACAGAGCCTCTGCCTTGTTACTCACTCAGGATGTTACCAGCTGTTTGTCAACAGAAGAAAAAGCAAGAGTCCAGGATGTTGCTGAGCTCTGACTTTTTATCCTTTTTTTTAATGCAAACAATCCATGACATTGGGGCATGGATTCCCCTTAACAAGCAATCAACTAGCCTGGAAAGCCACGTAGACCAAACTTTGCAAAGCAAGAATTTGGTCTAGTTCACTAGGCTAGCAATCAACCACAACAGTACCGAATCCACCCTTTTTAAAGCTAACTTGGAACCAGCCATTATGACATGGGCAGGGGAAACATTAGCTTCAAATCCTGCAATCAATAAAGTACATCTCAACACCTCAACAAAATATGTCAAACAATCTATTTACATATTTACCTACTACCTTAACTCAAAAGAACAAAAACAAGAACAACTACACTTAAACAAACACAAGATAACCCCCCCTCTCTTCAGTCAGTTAGTTTCTCCCTCAGTAGAGCTGATTAAGCACACCAGGAACTGATCATGGCTGCCTATGGGCGCGCTTCCATGGCAACACTTAAACAAATGACCTCAGAAAGAAGGGAGTGATGAACACCAATAGATCAACTTAACTTAAAGTAATTTATAGATTACCAAGCATATTTGACCTAAAACACACAAAAATACAGGAGTAAACAAACAAGAGGAATAACTATTAGTGAGGAGATAAATCCCTCACAGTCGTGACTCGTCTTCGAGGAGGGGAGGAGGGGGCAAACGACCCAGAGCGTCTCTGACATGAATTGCTTGGTTGCCTCCGAATCACCGGCCAAACTGGCTAGTAATATTTTAACAGTACCCGCCAAAACGATTTGCAGTTGCCCGCTATGCCCTATGGTCAGTCCAGCACTGGCTGCACATAAACTGTCAGTCAGAAGCTCTGCTAGCCGGTTATCTTAGAGGAGCTAGCTCAATTTGTTAGCTTGTTATCAGAATCATAGTTGCAGTTTCATCATCTGAGCTGCTTTTTAAGATCTAGGTAAACTTGTTCAATTTGGGGTCAAAAACAAACGTTTTCACATATTTTCCATGCAGTTTTTTTTGCCAGTTCCTCTTCTGACAGGTAGACAATTGTTTTTCTCTTTCCCTCAGAAAATCTTAATATTCTCCTAGTTTGGCCCAGCACAGATCACTTCCCAATTACAGCAACAGCCTTATATCATAACCACATAAGTGGAGAAAATGTTCAGTAGCAATGAGAGAATTTGCTGTTGCATTTAAGTGATGTTAACTATTATTTAACATTTAAACTTATTTTCTGATTATTTTTTTTTATTTACTCAAAAACCCTGGTAAGGGATGTTTTTCTGTATTTGGAGCATCAGAAAAAGTTTTATGGTGGTGGTGATGTTTTTAAGTCACTGAGAAACTGCATGCATGCAGTTTGTTGTTTTGCTGCTAATACAGTAGCAGGTGCAGCTGCATATTTTTGCACAAAAAATGTTATGTTGTAATGGAATTCATGCATTAGTTTTTGTTTGCTTTAAACCCAGAGCAGCCGTCACACACCAGACGACATCAACACTGCATACTTTAGTATTTGTTCATTTATCGTGAGTAATATCGATATCACAATATTAAGCACTGTTATCGAATATCGCAGGTTTTCCTAATATCGTGCAGCCCTAATGTGAGTTCTCATGTGTGTAGTAAAGTGACCACTGAGTCTAAAACATTTACCACAAGTTTTACATGAATATGGCTTCTCACCTGTGTGAGTTCTCATGTGTGTAGTCAAGGAACTACTGCCACTAAAACATTTACCACAAGTTTTACATGGATATGGCTTCTCACCTGTGTGAGTTCTCATGTGATAAATCAAAGCAGCACTCTGCGAGAAACATTTACCACAACTTTTACAATGAAATGGCTTCTCACCTGTGTGAGTTCTCATGTGTGTATTCAAGGGACTACTGTCACTAAAACATTTACTACAAATTTTACATGGATATGGCTTCTCACCTGTGTGAATTCTCATGTGTTTAGTCAAGGAACCACTGCCACTAAAACATTTACCACAAGTTTTACATGAAAATGGCTTCTCACCTGTGTGAGTTCTCATGTGTTTAGTCAAGGAACTACTGTCACTAAAACATTTACCACAAGTTTTACATGAAAATGGCTTCTCACCTGTGTGAGTTCTCATGTGTTTAGTCAAGGAACTACTGTCACTAAAACATTTACCACAAGTTTTACATGAAAATGGCTTCTCACCTGTGTGAGTTCTCATGTGTGTAGTCAAGGAACTACTGACATTAAAACATTTACCACAAGTTTCACATGGATATGGCTTCTGACCTGTGTGAATTCTCATGTGTTTAGTCAAGGAACTACTGACATTAAAACATTTACCACAAGTTTCACATGGATATGGCTTCTCACCTGTGTGAGCCCTCTTGTGCCTTTTTTGTTTTTTATCATCTACACTGTCTCTGTGATCTTTGGATCGGCATATTTTATTACGTGTCAGTTCTTCATTGCTGTTTGATTCTGAGTTTTCTTTCCTGCATCCACCCTGATCTTGGTTCTCAGCTTCTGTAGTACTCTGACACAAGGGTTGGTTCTTGTTTGGTTCTGGTTCATGACAGTCTGTTTCTTCAGAAGGAGAAGGCTCCATGAAGGTAACAACTTCCTGCTTCAGAAGAAACTTCCCTTCATGCTGATGGATAAGGAGTTCTTGTTGTTCCTCTTTCATCAGTGGAGGTTCTGGTTCCTTCTGGTCCAAACTGGAGGTCCATTTCTGTTTAGAGAGCTGCTGGTCAGTCAGAACCATCTTGTTTTCCCAGACATGATGCTGTGGAAGTTCTGGACAGGATAAAAGACAAAACAAAATGTAGATTAATGTGAATAAAAAAAAAATCTCTCGTGTTTGGACAAAGCTTCTCATTCAACGTGTTTTCTTTATTTTCATGACCATTTATATCAGGCGATTCTAAATGAAGGCATTAAAATTATGAATGAATACATGTGGAGTTATGTACTTAACCAAAACGGTGAAATAACTGAAAATATGTTTTATATTCTATTTTCTTCAAAATAGTCACCCTTTGCTCTGATTACTGCTTTGCACACTCTTGGCATTCTCTTGATGATCTTCAAGAGGGAGTCACCTGAAAAATGTCTTAAAGGAGTTCCCAGAGGTGTTTAGCACTTGTTGGCCCCTTTGTAAGTGGTCATGAAAATAAAGAAAACATATTGAATGAGAAGGTATGTATATATATATATATATATATATATATATATATATATATATATATATATATATATATATATATATATATATATATATATATATTAGGGCCGGGACTTTAACGCGTTAATTACGATTAATTAATTAGAACAAAATAACGCGTAAAAAAAATTAACGCATTTAATCGCAGCTTGCATTTCAAGCACGGCGGAACCTTTGTCATTGCACGATTTCCTCATAGACTGAATATCACTGACGCACACAACAATGCACAGTGCTAATGGCTACTAAAACGGAATAAAAACAGAAAGAAGTTGCCTTGCTTGGACTGATGCAGGATTTAGGAAACACGTCCGCCTCTTTTCTTAACTTGGATAAAAAAACTTCCAGACAACAACGGAGTCCGTGTCGCGGAAATTTTTCAGAGATCGTCTCTGCTGCGGCTGCCCGGTGGCACTGGAAACTTGACGAAAGTTGCGGTAAGCTATATTTTTAACATTTACATAACATCTGTGCAGCGCTGAAAGCACCAGACAGAATAATTCTGTGCCCTAACAGTAGTTTATGAAAGTAGTAAGACAAACGAGAGGCACTTGGCTGCCGCTGGGAGAACGCTCCGTGTCCTCACTACTCTGATCACAGAAATGTCTTAAAGTTGATAACAGAAGTTTAAGTTAAAACAGAAACACTCTGAAACTTTTCTGATGATTTTCTAAACAATTCTGTCGAGGAATTATACGTTTCTGAGACGAGTCACTGTCTAAACATCACATGCATTACTATCATTAAGCAGCGAGGTGTGTTGAAGCTGTCATCAGCTAAGGGGTGGATGCTTAAGTGAATCAGGGGCAGCGAGGAACGAGGAAGTTGTGATCAGGCTGGAGATCACACCAGATTCGCTGCAGCAGGCCTGAATCTGTGGGTGTGCAGCATCCCCTTCTTAACGTGACAGCAGGACTTCCCATGTAAGGAAGGTCCGCTCACCTGTTCGTCAGATCATTATTTCCTCGCCGTGATCTTTTATCATCCCATCAACCTCCAGTCATCCAACTGGAACCAGTTAGTGTTCCTGATCATTCTCAGAATATGCCATGCCTGCTCTGGTGTTAAAAGTTAGTACATTTAAGTCCTAGATCATATTTGTTCATGTTCTACTGTCATTTTGAAGGATTATTATTTATGTGTTTTTATTACATTATGAGTAGAAATGCTAATAAAAACTCCCAATTATACAAACAAGTGAAACTGGAAAAATTAGAATCTGGTGCAAAGTCAAACTTATTTCAGTAATTCAACTAGACAGAGAGACTATTTAAAGGCTCAGGAACCCTTTGCAGGTGTTTTCTATTTGTAATTATAAATTCTAGTTGATTTGGGTTTTGTTTCATATCACACAGTGACATTTGAATAATTAAAATGCATTTTATTATTAGAAGCTTTAGTTTACAGTAATAACCATGTCTAATGTTTGATTCTCTGTCTCATAATTTTAATTAAAAGTTTTACTTTGAGAGCACATTTTCCTGAACGATTAAAATGCGATTAATTTAGATTAATTAATTACAAAGCCTGTAATTAATTAGATTAAAAATTTTTAATCAAATCCCAGCCCTAATATATATATATATATATATATATATATTGTAGCGTCACAAAATGTCCTGTTTTTGGCCTGAAAGGTCATGCTCTGCTGTCTGCTCAAGCGGAGACGTGATGTCTCCGTCGGGAGGCCTAATCTACATGAGATATTGGCCCAAGGCCTTTCAGGTCCTCTGCTCATCTAAACTGCTTCACCTCCTTACAGCTCAAGACTAGACGGAGAACTCTTTTGATGAATACAAAATCAAACAACGTTAGTTATTGCAAATTATAATGTGAATCAGATATTCAATCATTTTGTGAAATGACAATGTATTACTTGATATTATAATCCTGTGATCAGTAGTTGTTTCGTGCCGTGTCCCTTTTCGGCCACAAGATGGCCTCAGTGGCCTTTGTCTCGCCCGTCTCCCGGTGCCCAGCTGTTCCAAATCATTGATGATCACCTGGCAGCAGTTAAGAGCTGCTCCCAGCCACCAGTTCGAGGAGAAGGTCAAGGGTAGTGTAGACTGGGAACAGTTTATACTATTCTCTTCTCCTCGGTTTGCTTTTGGTACAACTCGGTTCACTCGCTAGTCTTCGATTTGCTCTCAATAGGATTTCGGATTAGACCATTTGGCGTATAGACTTCGGACCGGCTTTAGACCCTGACCACGGATCTCCCCTTTTGAATATATATATTTATTATTCTCGGTTTCCTTCCCACCCCCTTCTGGGGTGGCGTTTTCAGTTTCTCCCTTTTTAAATATAGCTCCTTTTGTTTTGTATAAAGCATTGTTTTTTGGATTCTTTGTAAATATTCCATTCATTTTGTAATAAATCCCTTGTTTTTTAGCGACATAGCACTCTGTTATTATTTATCCCACACACTAATTTTACTACTCCCCTCCTCATCTCTCCTAGAGAGCCGGGGACATAATAGTAGTACTTAATTATAATTTTGGACAGCTGCACTAGACACATTGACATAGAGTTATGTTAAGTCACATTTCACATTTCCTTTTGTCTGATACAATCAGAACCTACATTTCTGATGTAAGGCATGGTTTTCTGTGGTGTCTGTATAAGCCCTCTTTTGCATGTCAAATTCTGATTCGCCAGTAAACCAAAATATGACATTTATAAAAACTATCCCCACGTCACCTTTACTTCAGTTCAAAGCGTTCTAGAGAAGTTTTGGACAGGCCATCCGGAACCTTTACAACCACAAGAACCTTGACAAGCTGGATAAAATCTGTTGCACGTTACACCTGACCGCAGCGGTTCCTTCAGAATAAAAGCTGAACCTCACGACCCCTTCAGGGTCTCGCTGACGCCAATAATAACCTGTCGTGACCTGGAAGAATTCCAAGACTAGTCTGGTTGGCACTGCTGCTCTCTCTAACGGCTTCGGTACCAAGGAAGGTCCACGGACCTCGACATTCTGGATCTGAACGGAGGCTTCGCCTGTGGGTACGTAGACCGACAGATGGCGTTTAATGTGTTTTATAAATCACCAACCGTAGTTTAGAGCAAAACATTCGCTCCCACTCAGAACTAATTGCTTCTCCGGATACGAGAGTTCTGAAAACAACATTCCACACATACACCATTCATCTCACGTCTCATTCAACTCAATTCAAAAATACTTTATTAATCCCAGAGGGAAATTGATTAACTCCACCTAGATTAATTGATTAATTCCACCTAGTTTCATCAGTACACAGAGTGTTTACAGTTAGACTTGTTTAAAGTGTGTAGAAATAAATTTCTTAACTATTATAAACCTGACTCTCTCTCTTTTATCTGAGTTAATAGAAAGTGTCCAGTAATCACTGCAATAAAAAGTTCTGATCTTCTGGTTAAAATATTCAAAGATCTATCAGACTGATATTTCATATTTCTATGGAATCTCACATTTTATGGTTCACAAGTAAGATGTAAACTACCCATCATTACTATATATAAATATATATATATATATATATACACACACACACACACACACACACACACACACACACACACACACACACACACACACACACACACACACACACACACACACAAGCGCTGTTTATTCTTAGCTGTCAGCAGTGCTATGCAGCAGAACCGCCAGTCAGGTTGCTGCTTCAAGTCTGCTCCATGCAGTGTGCAGGTATATAGCAAGCCACTGTAGCATTTAATTTGCAACCATGTCTATTTTCAAAAATTATTTAAAACATATTACTGCTAATCTGTACATAATAGATATGTCACCATTCCAATTTAGTAGTAAAAATTAAATGTTTAAGCATTTCCAGTACCACTGAATATCTTAGCCCTTTGAGACCGGCAGGAGCGCCGGCGCTCCCATTTGCATATCTGTGTTCAAATGCTTGTAGAATTGAAATTATATAATTTATTTATTTTTTGCATATTAAACCGGAGGATTTACACTAATATCTCCCATGCTAAACATGTCCCAGAGCGTTGTGCTTTTTTGCAATAATACATTTAGACAAACACATCCTACACACATCACACACCTACTACAAACTCCCAACACACGCACACCATTACAAACGTTTAGACATATGATGGACCTACCAAATGGTGCATCCTCCCTCCTCGAAGCAGTTGACGCCATTACAGCACTGGGTGATTAAGTTTCAGTTTCTGTTTCCTCACGTATATATTAATGCAATAATCTTTAATATTGTTATTATTATTAGTGAGAGATTAGGAAAACTTTATACTCCTGAAAAATTAGCTACAAATAGTTTATTTAAATGAGTGTATCTCAGAAACTAATTTATAAAAGCACTTCAAACAAATTTGTTGTTGTTTGAAAGGATTGTGTGAAACTTTTTGCCATTGACAATTTTGAGGGATAAAGGTGTGGCATTTCTATATAATGAAAAATATGTGTAAAAACAAAAAACGATTTTCAATTTGTGTATGGATAATAGCATTTTTTAGTGAAATATTTAGTTGCTATGAACATTTTATATTTATATTATTAAAATTTAGAATCTAAGGTTGTATTGATGTATAC